GCGAGATCAAACGTAAAACACCCCTCCAGATAAGGGAAAGGCTTGGTGGGACTCCACACCATGTGCCTGGTTTCTGGCTGAGAACCAAACGTGGTCACAATGCATCTTGCCTATCAGCATGTCATCACCAAACTGAGAGAAACAAAGTGTGCTGTCATCACACTACATAAAGAATTAACTAGTTGACAATGATGGTGTTCAACCTCATGTCACCAATTCAAGAAAACAGGTTAATACAGACCTTTACAGTACACAACCTCTTTTTCCTCTTTCTTTTTCTGGATGGCTGCCAATAATCAATTTACTCCATTGTCTCCGATTAAGTGGGTTCTTAAACGTCTAGGCAGTATGCTTGCCATAGCACTCAGGTCGTTCAGAAACTATTGTTTGACATCTCAAATTAACTAGCAAGTCATTTGTGTCCTTTCACTTTTAAACCTTCTCTCCCCATGCCCATTATTTATATAACAGTAGGAGAAAATAGAAAATGTCTTGAAATATCTAAATTTTGTAGCAAAGTAAATAACATTAAGTCCTTATCCTGATCTTCCCAAAGTTTTGCTACTTGCCAGCATTTATATAGATTACTGGCATAAACCTGCTTTGCTCCTCTAATTAATCTGATAACCTCAAAATCTCCATGGATAGGTTATTTTATCCAACTGGTTTGAGAAGATTCAGACTCAAAGTTCATCAAATGATTCACTAGATGCAATGCAACAGATCAATTCTCTAACTAGTCTTCTGGAAGTAAGAGAATATTTTATGTATTAAAGCTGAATTCAGAAATACAGCTGATGAGAGAAATCTAGAATATACTTATTTATGTATCATATAATTCAGTTGGTAGCAGCTTTTTATCTTACTAAAAATCAGATTTAACACAGAATATTAAGGTATCATCTCTAACAGAAATACCAGTTTAGTCCTTCTTGTAGTAGTGCTACAGATCCTGTTCTGATTGTATATACATGTACACATTTTGCTACACAAATTTTTTTGTAAACTCATGGTTCTTTTTGAAATGCAGGTGAAGCCTGACTCTTTTAAACTGAATTAGTTTACATCATATAATATAGTCTATCTAAAAGCAGGGATGCAAGCGCCTAGATGCCCTCTATATTGACAGGAATGCTTGTTTATATACTAGAAATGCCTTTTTATGAGCCACTGTTGCCTTGGAAACCACTACTAAAAATGAAAATTTTGTCTCCATGGAAAAAACCATATTGAATGTTATCCCAAAATTTACCTTATTTTTTTTCTGATCAAACTGAAAGTCAAAGATTGGCAGTTGGATGTTCCTAGTTTCTTAATTCCTCCTTCATATTCTAAAATTATATCTTGCTGTAAGTTTTGCAATTCCTGATAGCAAACAGAGGCCAATCTCTTATTTTCTACCACTCCTCTTATCAAAAAGATTTACATTCTTTGTCTCAATAGGCTGAAGGACAAAAAACCCCAAAGCCTTCACAGAAGTCAGAAAGCTGTTTTCTGAGCTTTTGATCTTTTCATGCACTATTTAAAGCATTCAACAGCTCTCTGAACAATAGCGTCAGTCCAAAATTCTTGGGAAACATAATTACCTATGCTATATATCATAATATCTATTCTAAACCAGTGAGCAAAGAGGAAGATACCTACACTGGATGACAATAGGAAGACAAAGCAAAAGATGCCCATCATCTGATTCCAGGCTCTGCCTGCTCAGACATGGTAAATTCACAAGGTAAGAAGGCCTTTCGGCTTATTTTTGTGAGGATGCAACCTGTTTTGCCACAGAGAAAGACAGCTTTATAAGATTTTATTCGTCTTCTGCATCAGTTTACATTTTTTATGTCTGGGAATACATTCACACAGCATTGACCACAGCATCACAGATGTGTGGATATAAAATTCTAATTTTTGGCTTCTGATTGGTTTCAGTTGTCTCATAGCTCTTGTTTCCAAAGAAAACATCCAATTGTACCATTCTATTTCTGACACTGGGACTAAGACTAAATGGGGAATAAAAAATAATCTGTTTCTTCTGAGCACTGCCAGACAGTGGTGTACTAGGAGATGTGAGCCTAAAAATAATACTATTCAATATGCAAACCCACTCTATGGATTTCTTGTAGCTACAGGTACTGGTCTGTTATCAAGAAAAATCTCTGTGGAGAGGAAACAAGAACTCTAAAAGCACCAGGACCTTTGTGAAAGCACGGAGGGTTTAACCTTCATATGGCAAAAGCACAGTATGGAACTAAATAGATGCCATAAAAATACATGTATCCTGCTGTTGGGAAGATGGGTGTGATGAGGAGACAGGTCAATGACATAACGATGGTCAGTGAAAGCTGTGAGAAGACCCAAGATCCAGTGTGGGGTTGTATTCTTTTCTGTTACCATGAAAGACTGCTTAAAGGGTAAAAAGCTTCACTGAGCCCTCCACAGCCACTGTGACAAACATTCCGCCCACCCGCCTTTGGCCATAATTGTGCTGTGTTTCTTTAAAAAACATAACTATTGGACTCCCTACAGGGAACATCTATGGGATCTGCTCAAGGGGAGCAAGACCCAGAGGATGGAACATACATCAGGCAAGAGCATCTCCCACAGAAAACTTGGCTATCACCAGATCATACAGAATGGCTGCAATGCGGAGAAGGGAGCAGAGCAGTCAGTCTGCCCTCAGGGATGAGGGAAAGACATTTCCCAAGGACCAGAGGTGACAGAAGAGAATTGAGCAGACTCAGCCACGGTGATTGAAAGTATGGATGTGGAGACCTACTTGGAAGAACAGAGGGGGCTGAGGTTGAAGGAAGGAGTGATTTTAAAATGCTTTTAATTTCTATTATGCCTGACTCTTCTGCTTTGAATTCTTCCTCTTTAGGAAGTTTTAGTTCATATTATAATGAAACACAGCATTTTCCCCACTTCAGTTTCAAAGCTTTTTGATCTTCTTTGTGGAGTTCACAGCCGAAGCAGATTCACCTTACATGTCCGGCTGACACGGGGTCCTGCTACTGGCCATCAGCCTCTGTAACGTCCCCTCCTTATTTGCAGTATCCTGATGGATGTGCTATAGATACCTGCTTCTGGTACAGCACAGGGTTGCAACCTTGGAGGACTGAAACGATGGCTCTGGGGTGTTTCACCTACAACAGCTGCCTCACAGACTCGCGTTAACCGGCTATGTGGACCGATAGGAAAACAGCATTTCATCAAAGCCTGCCCTGTCTTTCAAGAAAGTCCTTCAACACAGACACATGGCCATGAAATAATCCTTTTTTTTAAACAACATAGCATTTCTTGATTAAAAGCAGCTCCAGCTACAATGAAAAAGGCAGGAACTAATTATTCTGAATAACTAATTGTTCAGTATTGGTACCCATTAGAAACTTACAGGATAAATAATAGCTGAAAACTTCAAATTATCATTTGATACTTTCTCCTGAACTTAACTGGGAGAGACTGCTTGGCAATTTCCAGGGCCTTCTACCAGCTGGGCTGATTAGCCCATGATCAGTGCTGAGCAACACAAGTTAACTCGCCTGTCACTGGGGGCACTGGCTGCCAGCTGAGCACACTCACACGGACAATTAGCAAGGCTCAGACCACATGTGATAACTTGTTAAGCTGCAGTAATGTTTATTTTTCCTTTCAAGCCTCACACTAAGAAGCAGCGTGAAGCAAGAGGTTTTGAGAACTAAATGAGGGAAATCTCCCCTATAAAGGAAAAAAACTACCATTTCCCCCCTCCCAAGCTTGCATGTTAATACTGATAGAAAACCTTGCAAAGTGACTTGTTTTGCTCTAGTCAGCTTGCAATTCTGTGCTGACTTTGTTCTAAGAAGTGGAATTTACAGTGAATTTATCAGAACACCCCTATTTTAGGCTTAAATTAAGAAATTATATGTATATTAAAAGACCTGTAAACCCATTACAATAGCTATATCAAAATCAATAGATACAGAGTACTTAATACAGTTAAATTAGATGGGTTCCTCATTTTGGCTATATATCACTTTTTAAAGTGAAATAGAAAAAAAGGTTGAAATAAATTATTTAATGCTAATTCATTCTCTCTTAGAATTCTGTCACTGTGCCCTGTCATGGGAACATGTAAGTTCTGTGCATTTTGTAAGAATACTAATGAGAATGCACTCTGACTCTGAAATAATTTATTTCAGTGATAGATATGAAAGTTACTTGAAATCAGCTTATAATTAGCCAAGATTATTAATGTTGTGGTAATAATCATAACAAATGCAATTGAACATTTTGGTATGGTGA